TTTCTTAAGTAATTAAAAATTTAAAATTTTGATGCTTTCAAAACTCATTGACTAATTTTTTTTAAAAAAATCAGCAAATTTAGTTTGAAATTTGGAACTCCTAGAACTCTTCTTCTAAGAGATTATGTACACACCTTATAATTTTAGTTTTTATTTAATTAAAGAGTGTACAAATACAATCATAATTGAACAAAACTCAAAAGTAATAACCAAATAAATGTTTAAATTTAAAGGTAGATAAAAATAAAAGATTAAAAAAATATTAAGTTCAATAAGATGCATATTATTTATATTGAATCTTTTTTGGGTGGGGAGCCTAAAATTTGTTTGGGTGGGCAGAGGGAGTATAATATATTATTTTTTCAATAAGATGCATAATTTTAGTCGTTAATCAATGTGTTAATCTTGATATATTATTTATATTGATAGTTAATCTTTTTTTATTTTACTGCTCATAAATAATAAATTAAATATAAATTTATGAGTTATATATTAATTACTTCCTCTCTCCACCCAAACAAATTTTAGTCGTTAATCAATGTGTGTTTTTAATTTTTTTGAAAATATAATAATAAACAATTTAATTTACTAGTTTTCTCTCTCCCAACCCATACATTCAGTATTTTTTTTCCCCTTAAAATGTATAAATAATATGTGCAATTTACTAAAATAAAATAAAAAAGTAAAATAAGTTTATAAAATGTGTTCATTTTATTTAAAAATTAAAAATATTAATTAAAAGAGCACAATTTAATGAAAATTTTAAATTAATAGAATTTAAGAACTTTATAAAGAACAAAATAATAGTATAAGACATTTCTTTTTAAATTTTATTGGTAAGGATTTCTATTATGAAAATTTTAAGTTACAAATATTTAGGATTGAATGGCCTAAACAATAGATTTTTTAAAAAAATTTTGTAGTTTGAGACCTTGAAACTCTAAAAACAGTCTTTGTTAAATAAATAAATAAATAAACATTTACAATACTATATATTAAAAGGATTGGATAATCTCTTCTTCTTTTTTTCATTTTTAATGATTTTTTTTTTAAAAAAAGAAAGAAACTGAATGGAAATTTTTATCTTTAATTTTAATTTTGTGTAACCCAATTTTTATTTTTATTTTTTTTTTAAAAAAGATTGATTTTGAAAAAATTTCAGCATAATGAATTAAGTCAGGGAGTAAAAGGAATAAGATTTTCTTTTTGGGTCGGTGGGGACTAAACTGTGGCAAATTTTAAAATTTTCACCTTTTAACTTGTTTTATGAAATAAATTTTTTTTTTCTTTTTTTGACTTGTTGATATTTGAAAAATGACAAAATATTTTTTTAACCAAAAAAATTACTTTCAAAACCTGAGGCACATGAGGCCTTAATTACATACTTGGTGGGCTAATTTTCAATGTTCAAAAAAAGTAAGTATATATGTGTGTGTGTGTGAGTGAGATTCAAATTGTAAAGTGAAAATTTTACTCTAGATCAAATTCTAAGTATTAATATGCAAGTATCAATTCTTGCAAAACTCATTACTAAAGTTATTCCAAATTTTAATCCTAAACTAATTTCAAATTAATTTTACATACTTGTTATACTCTTTTGTATGAATAGAATTTTTCATTAAAAGTAAATGATTATCCTTTCTTTCTTTGAGGGCACCTTCAATGAACAAACAAAAATAAAAATGAAATGTGAAAATGTGAAAATAAGACTACTATAAAAATATTAAATTATTCTACAGTTATAAACAAATCATACACTCTAACGAAGTTTTCAACAAATCGTATATTCTAATGACATTTGATTGAGCATCACTGTAAATACATTAAATTTAATTACTCTAAATTAATAAATATATCACATATTCTAATGGAGTTTTATTGAGTATCACTACAAATATATTAACTCCAATAAATGAAAACATGTAATAGAGTTTGTGGGGGAGTATTTCATGATTAACGTCACGTGGCTAAGGTGATACCGAAGTGTTAGCCGAGGTGCCACGTGACCTGGACACGTTGCCGAGATGATCTTGACAAGGCCAACGTAATTTGCGGAGATGCCGGAATCCGAGATAAGCGGATAAGGGGGGCAGGAATCCTGGACAAAAGAGGGCTCTAGTCTGGATAAGGATAATGCTCTTAGGGAGTTTATCTCTATCTAGCAAGAAGTCCAAGATGAACATTCGGCGCTGGAGACCTATGAAGTGAGGCTTCTAGGGGAGTTGGGCACTAATGGCTAATAAAAGGGAGGAACTCCGTGGGTCTCAGGTATGTGTGATATACTATGAGCAGTAAGTTCTTTGCTGTGAGTTTAGGCACAATTTGTTATCTTTGAGAGATATTTTGATTACTGACTTGAGCGTCGGAGTGGCTTCCGGGTAAGGCTTCAAACGAGTCAGCCGAGCCGAGCGATCTTAGTATGTTTGGTATTTTATTAAGATTTTAAACAGCTCGAGCTCGAGCTGAATAAAATTAACGAACCGAGCTCGAGCCGAGTTGGCTTAGGCTCGACTCGAGATCGAGGCTGTTCACAGAGCCTTAACGAGCCAAAAAAATTTTAATTCATACTTGCATGTGAGACTAAAGTCACAAGTTAAACTTTGATTATACAATTATATATATACAATATATATAAACATACTAAAAAAGTTCAAATTGTACTAAAATAAATAATATCTACTACCACTATTATATAAATGTACTATCTATAGTTAACTATTATTTACATTTATATTTTTTAAATATATAAATAACATATTTCTATTATTTTTTATACATATTTTTATATTATTTAATATATAAATAACAAATATTAAACGAGCCAACTAACGAGCCGAGCTTTAGAATGTTTGGACTTGTTTATTAAAAATTTAACAAGCTCGAGCTCGAGCTCGAACGCAAAAAAAAAAATTAATGAACCGAGTTCAAACGAGCTCTTACCGAGCCGAACTCGAGCCTGTTCACGAACGGCTCTGTTCATTTACAGCCCTACCTAAGGGTGGATAAACCACCGTCGGATTCTTATCTTTTTGTGACAAGTTGTTCGGGCTTAATCTATTCTGCCAGTGCTCTCCGACTGAGTTTCCCATTTGGTTGTGTGGTCAGAAATCAACACCCACAATTTGGCACCGTCTGTGGGAACGTAAGGAGAATAGATGGCCAACGACGGACAAAAAAAAAAGATCGATAATGATGTCCTATGTGGGAGTGGTAAACATGCCGATCCTAACTTAGTAACAAAACCATAAAGAAGAAGCACGGGGTCAGAATCCCGGGGATAAGGACGTCAGCAAAGAAGGAGACGCCTCGAAGAAATCAGGCTAAGATGAGTATTACAACAAAAGCGACCTCCAGGTATAGAAAGATAGATACCTGATGAGGGACAGCGAGATGAAGGGAATGGCCAACAAGTTGGCAGATCTACAATCGATTGTCAACTTCATGATGCAAACAATGTCATGTAACCACCGTTTTCGTTGCAGGACACGCCGATGCCAGGGGCCAAGACTAACGCCCATAAAGGGGGGTAGAAAACAGTCTCAGCAGTCCCACAGCATGGCAGGGAAAAAGAGCCCTCACATCGGCCTTCACGGGATGTCGAGCGAGGAGAGTCAGTCAAAGGTGACTCACAAAGAACACCTCGTACCAAGGGGGCGTATGTCCAAGAGCCCCGGAATATCCAAGGGAAGGGCCTGTGTTTTGACACGGTGAATGAAGAGAAGTTCAAGAGGATACATAACGACACTAGGAGTAGTGCACCAAAAAGACTGAAATCGACTGACGGCCGAGCTCCTGGTCGGACTAAGGAGGATTTGAAGGACTACCTCCAAAGGAAATGGCAGAATGCCAAGGTCACATCCCCCATCAAGCCGAGAACGCCGATCTCTGTAGAGTTGGATAGGTTTAAGGCCCCAAAAAGGTTCCACATGCCGAGGTTCCAAATTTATGACGGTAAGTCCGATCCGAACTTTCACGTCGGCTTATATCGGAATTCAATGGCCTTGTATACTAGGAACGAACTGTTGCTGTGCAAGGTGTTCCCCTCATTCTTTGGGGAAATTGCATCGGACTGGTTTCACAAGTTGCCAAAAGGAACTGTGAAAAGTTGGGAAGGCTTGGCCGAGATATTTGTGGCCAGTTTCGTTATAAGCAAGTTGCAACCACTAAGGATAGACTCCTTGATGGCTCTGAAAATTGGTAAGGGTGAAGGCCTTAGGGCTTATGCCAAAAGGTATTATGAGGTGTTCAACTGCATACCGAGATGCAACCAGGAATTGGCGATCGTGTCTTTTAAGAACGGCCTGGAAGATGAATGCCCACTTTAAAAGTCGCTAACAAAAACTCTACCAAAGAGTATGAAGGAGCTCATGGCACGAATCGAGAAATACGCCAAAGCAGAAGAGGACACGCCTGCAATGAAGGCACTAAAACATGAGAAGAGGAACGGCTTGCCGAAGCAAAGCTTAGGTAATATTGGTTTTAACAGGCAGGAGGTCAGACTAAGAGCTGCGCAGGCAGTTGCTACTGTATTCAGGATCCTAATCCATAAGGTTCTGGAGAGGATCAGGAACCAACCATACTACAAAGCGCCAGAGAAAGTTCATGGCGAGTTTATGGGGAGGAGCTTTGGGAAGCACTGCGCTTACCACAATGAGGATGTACATTTTACATAGGGATGCAGGGCCCTGAAAACACACTTGAAGGACTTGGTCAGACAAGGTCATTTAAGAGACCTGGTAGATGAGGCCAGAATAAGGGAAGAGCATGCAAGGTTTTCCCCAACACCGATAGCACCGCCTCTACCACCGCCACCGCCACCGCAACAAGCAAATGAACCCCGGGTGATTGATGTGATTCACTCAAGAGTGAATGAGAATGAAGTTAGGGGGGTAACACAGAGAGTAAAACACTTACTGCACGTATACCAGGTTTAACAGAAGAAACCTAGAATGCATGAATATCAGGGACCGACGATCTCTTTTATTAAGGCCGATTCAGACATGGTACAGCATCCACACAATGATGCTCTGGTGGTGACTCTAAAGATTGGTGACTGCCAAGTAAGGCATATATTGATTGACCAAGGCAGTTCTTGTGATATCATATATGTTAGATGTTACAAGGAACTAGGCCTTTATCCAAATGATTTAGAACAGTCCAACAGTCCGATGGTTGGATTCAATGGGACGCCAACATGGCCTCTCGGAGCAATGAATTTAGAGGTGCAGGCAGGCACCAAGAAGGTAAACATAGAATTCAAGATGATTGATACCCCCTCCCCTTATAATGCTATTTTGGGAAGACCGTGGCTACACGCAATGAGGGTTGTACCCTCAACACTGCACCAGCTGTTGCGATTTCCAACAGAGCAGAGGATTGAGGAAGTCAGAGAAGATCAGGTGCAGACAAAGAATTACTTCATGGTAGAAATGAAATCCAACTGCAATGTGCGAGAAGCAAAAAAAGTGGAGATTGAGGACAAGGACATAGGAGTTCTAGATGATGTCGGCAAAGAACCGGTTGAGAAGAGCGAGGAAGCCTTAAAGAAAATTCTGGTCCGAGAAGAGGATGAAGAGCGCTTCTTACTTCTCAGCTTAGGTTTGGCCGAGGATGAGAAAGGGAGTTAGAGGCTTTCTTACGGGCTAACATAGAAGTATTTGTCTGGACACCATATGAGATGTCAGGCATTGACCCCGAGATCGCATGCCATATGCTCAATGTAGACATGATGAGATGCCTGGCATCGACCCTGAGGCCATATGTCATAGACTCAATGTGGACAGGTCGGCTAAACCTGTCATTCAATGACTAAGAAGGATGACATTATTACATGTGGAGGCAGTTAAAGAGGAAGTGGATAAACTGCTAGAAGCCCAGGCCATCAGGGAGGTGAACTACCCTACCTGGCTGTCCAATACAGTAGTTGTGAAAAAGAAAAATGGGAAATGGAGGGTCTGCGTGGACTTCACCAGTCTAAATAAGGCTTGTCTCAAGGATAGTTTTCCCCTGTCTAAAATTGACCAACTGGTGGATGCCACTTCAGGATATGGGAGGATGAGCTTCCTGGATGCTTATAGGGGGTACCACCAGATTGCAATGTATCTCCCAGATGAAGAGAAGACCACATTCATCACCCCAAAGGGCTTTACTAGTACAAAGCGATGCCTTTTGGGTAGAAGAATGCAAGGGCAACCTACCTTAGGCTAGTAACCAAGATGTTTAAACATCTGATTAGCAAAACGGTAGAGGTCTACATTGATGATATGGTTTTGAAGACCAAAGAACCTGAAAACCACCTGGTCGACTTGAATGCAATCTTTGACATCCCAAGAACATATCGGCTCCTACTCAATGCTTCAAAATGTGTATTTAGAGCTGGGTCTGGTAAGTTTCTAGGATACTTGGTCACCAGAAGGGGCATTGAAGCAAGCCTAAATTAGATCAAGGCCATCACGGATTTGAAGAGCCCGACATCAGCCAAACAAGTACAAATATTAACTGAAAAGGCTGAAGCCTTGAATAGGTTCATCAGCCGTAGCTCAGACAAGTGTAAATCATTTTTTAGTTTGTTAAAGAAGGCTACTGATTTCTTGTGGACAGAATAATGCGAGATCGCCCTAGTCGACTTGAAAAAATACTTGACAACAACACCAGTTTTGTCAACTCCAGTGCTAAGAGAAGAATTGTTCATATACTTGGCAGTTTCAGAGCACGTAGTAAGTGCAGTTGTAATCCGAGAAGAGGAGAGAGAGTAGAGGGCAGTTTACTACGTGAGTAAAACCCTAGCAAGTGCAGAGACCAAGTACCTGCCCTTGGAAAAATTAACGTTAGCCTTGGTGATGGCCTCCAAAAAACTAAATCACTACTTCGAAGCCTACAAAATAGTGGTGCTGACTGAGTATCCTTTGAAGTCCTTGTTACAGCATGGGGATTTGACAGGAAGAGTAGCCAGATGGGTAGTAGTGCTGGGCCAATATAACTTGGAGTTCAGGCCAAAAACAGCAACTAAGGGCCAGGTCCTGGCCGACTTTGTGGTCGAGTTCACCCCTAGTGCCATCCCACGTCAGGCTTCGTTGAGCCGCTGTTTAGGGTGTCCAAGGGAACAGGAAAAGACCCAGTTGGGACTGAGAAACCCCACCCCAGCAAGACAGAAGAAGGCAGAGCAAGCAAAACCCTGCAATAGCTACATCAGCGACTTCTTCCGCCTATTTGTCGACGGAAGTTCAAACCGACAAGCAGCAGGGGCATGAGTGGTTATGATATCGCTGAATGGGCGAATGATAGACTAATCAATCCATTTGGGGTTCAAGGCCTCAGACAATGAAGCAGAGAATGAGGCACTAATTTCAGGACTAAGGCTAGCAGTAGCCATGGAAGCCGATAAGGTGGTAGTCTATTGTGACTCCTAACTTCTTGTGAATCAAGCTACGGGTGAGTATGCAGCCCAAGATGAAACAATGCTAGCCTATGTCAAAGAGGTTGTCAAGCTGGTAACATTGTTCCAAGATTGTCAGTTGCAGCAAGTTAGCCAAGATGATAACAGTCATGCCGATGCCTGGCCAACCTGGCTAGTGCAATAAAGTCAGGGGAGCCAAGGACAATCATGGTTGACTATTTAACAAGACCAAGTGCGGAACCTCAGATAATAGAGTATGAAACAATGTGCATAGAAATGGGTCCTAGCTGGATGGATGTAATAGTGATATTTCTTAGGGATAGCAAGTTGCCAGAAGACAAGAGAGAAGCACATAAGACCAGGCTGAAGTTGACCAGGTTCTGCCTGTCAACAGAAGGCCACCTATACAGAAGATCCTTCACCAGACCTCTACTCTGGTGTGTGCATCCCTCTTAGGTAGAGGAGTTCTTATATGAGGTCCATTAAGGAGTCTATGGAAGCCGTGTTGGGGGCAGGTCATTTGCTCATAGGGCCATCACTTAGGGGTACTGGTGACCGTACATATAGAAGGATACTGAAGCCTACGTCAGAAAGTGCGAGAAGTGTCAAAGGTTTACACCTTTGATACTTCAACCAGTAGCTAATTTGAACCTAGTATCCAACCCTTGGCCATTTGCCCAGTGGGGCATGGATCTTATTGGACATTTGCCCTAAGCGACTGGACAAAGGAAATTTTTGCTAATACCAACTAATAACTTTACCAATTGGGTAGAGGCTGAACCCCTTGTGAAGATTCGAGATATTGATGTGAAGAACTTCATATGGAAGAATATCATCACCAGGTTTGGGATCCCAAGGATAATAATAGCAGATAATGGTACACAGTTTGACAACAAGCTAATCAAAAGCTTCTGTGCAAAGTACAAAATTAAGAACTACTACTCCACTCCAAGTTTCCCTCAGAGTAATGGTCAGACAGAAACGTCCAATAAGACTATCTTGGATGGGATCAAGAAGAGGCTAGAAGCAGCCAAGGAAAAATGGGTGGAAGAGTTTTCAAATGTGCTATAGGCATATCAGACTACGTTGAGAAAATCAATGAGGGAATCTCTTTTTGCCATGGCATATGGCACTGAAATGGTTATCCCAGTGGAGGCCGGTATCCCTGGAATCAGAACCTAGGGAGTGGAAAATGGGAACAACGAGGCATACTTTGCCCGAGATCTAGACCTAGTAGAAGAGAGAAATGAGAGAACAACAATTCAGCTGGGGGCATACCAGCAGCAGCTTACTAGGGCTTACAACAAAAAGGTCAACCCAAGAGAGTTCAAGGTTGGGGACTTGGTCTTAAGAAAAGTTGTCGTCAACAAGAAGGATCCTAGGGAGGGCAAACTTGGCTCGAACTAGAAAGGACCTTATAGAATCATCTCGATTGCCAACCATGGAGCATATCGGCTTGAAGACATTGATGGCAAAGAGTTGCCAAGACCATGGAACATTTTCAATTTGAAGTTTTTTTTTATCATTAGCTCTTTGAGAATTATGTATTGATTTATTAGCCGAAGCTTTAATAAAACATTAGCTCGATTTTTATTTTCATATATTATTGTTAACACTTGTTTGATAGGACTGAAATAGTCTTATAATGTTGTTTCCGATTGAAACATGATGAGTAACTTAGACTTATCATATGGCAGAGTTGAATTATACTTGCATATGATAAAGTTGAACTAAGTTGACGATGTTTCCGATTGAAACATGATGAGTAACTTAGACTTATCATATGGCAGAGTTGAATTATACTTGCATATGATAGAGTTGAACTAAGTTGAATTAACTTAGACTTGCCATGTCAGCAGAGTTAAACTAAGTTAAGTAAAGACAGACTTGCCAGGCCAGCAAAATTGAACTAAAGTTGACTTTAGTTAGATTAAATAGAGAAACCTAGGTAGAACACCTCGGCTAGTCTTTGCTTGAGTCTGACTCCAGCAACAGACCATAGACGCATGCTTAATATGAACTTAAGTGGAACTTAGGTTCACATTAGGGTGCAGGGAGTAGGAATGATAAGTAAGCTTATGAGCTTGACACTTGTTGGAATTTTTAGAAAATTTACAAGTTAGAATGAGCTTGACACTTGTTGAAATTTCAAAACAATTTATAAGTTCAAGTTAGCCGAGGTAATAAAGAAAGAAGTATCCGAGGTACTTATTACCCAAGATGACCAAGCAAGTTGTCAAGCTTGGAAAGGTTGGAAGGATGAAGTCTTGATAGAAGACAGCAAGTACAATCGTAGTTTAAAGTCGAGGCGATATTGGTCCGAGGTGACTAGCTAAGGATAACTCCGAGGTAATTCTTGTCCTATATATTCTACCCCAAAGTGATTTCATAGAATATACTTGGAAGAAGTAGAAAAATATTCTAAGTATGAAGAAAAATACAAACAGTAAGCATGCAAGAGAAGCATTCAACACTTTAGAAAAAATGAAGCATGCATTCATAAAAGACTACTTGTTCAGTTACAGAGGTGGCACTTCGGCCCAATTAAAACAGAAACTATTACAACTTGTTCAAAGAAAACAAAAAGTGCAATGAAAATTGAGATCCTAAGTACTAACATCTTGGGCGTTGATCTCAAACTGTTCTGCTTTGGCAGTTAGCGGCGTTTCGGCCTCAGCAGACAGCTGGGAAAGATTCTCGGCATTTTTATCAGCCTCGATCTCAGCATTGATCTCGAAAAGAGTCTGGTCAAGGCTCTTCTCGGCGATATGGACCTCGGCTTTGCTGGTTGTCTTTTTTGGGAGAGACATTCTTGGAGACCTCGTTCTTCTCATCCTGAGTCAAGTCTAGGACTTGCTCATTCAGAGTGGGGGACTTGGTCCCAACAGTAGTCTCCTCTTCATCGACATAATCAGCCTTGGTATCATCATCCTCGGCTTCGTCTTCTGAGCCCTTAGGAGTTGGAAAAAAGGTACATAGAGCTAATTGATGTCTCTCAAGGGGGAGTCCATTGGGACATAGAGCTTATTCAGAGCCGCCGTCCAGCCGAGGTAAAAGCCTCGGTTGTAGGCTTGGTTGACCTAGGTTTTGTATGCATCACGGACGGCAGCCTGTCCTTCTGAGAATGCCTTCTCACCAACGACCTTGATTTTAACTTTCTTGGTGGCCAAGGCCTCTTGGAGCTCTACCTAGGCTTCGGCTGTTTGGGCTTTAGCCTCCTAGGCCTTAGCT